CCTTAAAGCTAGGTGTCTTGTGTCTTTTGTGCACTTTCCTATTTGTCCACGATGAATAATAAATATCAAATTTAGAAATTGGATATCTAGATGTTTCTTTCGTCAATTAGAAAACAATGCATTCAAGCTATTCGTACATTACATAATAGCATTGTTCTAAAAATCGGTCGAGGCGACCGATAGGCAGTCGACCAGAATGATAGGAAGTGTCTTTCCAATAATAGGAAGAGAGATGCGACCACCCCATTTAGCTATGTTATGGGCAAAGAAGCTGTCTTTTCGTGAGACATGGATACAGAATACGACACCATGATATCAGTCAACAACTAAAGAGGAGGGCTGGAATTTGGATATGTAAGATATTTGATTTGTTAATAATAATTATCAAATTTAACATTATATAGAATATAAGCTTTTATTTGTATAATATATATATATAAATGTGAAACACAAAATATTATTTTCTTTATAAATTTATTATATTACAAAAAATATTTGAAAAATATAAATATGTTTCTATATTTAAGATATTTATTCAAAATGTATTTATGCATTAATATATTTTGAAATTTTTTTTTGAATTGAATATATTCGATTATCTCTTTATTAAATAGGCTACTAATTAAAAATTAAATTCAATAACAAATTGAATAGGAATATAAATAATCGAATACTTTCACAATTTAGAGTTGAATAGTTCGGTATTCATTTTGATTCGATTTGTTTAGTAAAGCTATACATAAATGGTTGAGCATGTCACACAGTTGCGCCGATTTCTTTCTATCAATGTCGTCTTCCCCGTATAGTCGAAGCATTTTTTTTAAAGAACAAAATCAGTCTGTGTGATAAATTGAACACACATTTCAATTGATATTTTGAAATGAAATACATAAATAGATACCCGTAATTCGAAAGGACCGTATCTGGGCCTTTTAAAAAAATGAGTACACATTTGTACTATTTTATATTTTAGATTTTTATTAGAGGAATTTGTACCACATACTTTCCTATAACAATTATATTACATATTTAACACCAATTAACTTTTATTTTTAAATTTACAACTTCAACACAAAAATATTACATACACCAGGTTTTTAATGGCTGAAGTCAATCTATCAAATTAGGGAATGTTTTTAATTAATGATGTTCTCCTTAGTTATTGGAACAAAACCTCCCACGATCTCTCCCCAATCGAACAATATCATCCCAACAAATCGGCCATTATCTCTCTGCAAAACTGCACGTTCTCCATGGAGTCGATGAGGGAGACAATCGAATTTTGGTTGGAATATCTTGTTGAGGTGAGGGTAAACCCTAGCCACCAGTTCATCCATTGATTTCTCGCCGTCTCTGCAGAGGTCGTGGAGGCGCGCAACGAGGTTGAGATGGAGAAATCGGAGGTGGGGTCGGTGTTGTCTGGCGACGGAGGATAACGATCGGAGATGGATTTCCCATTCTCTTCTCCGTCAGCCATTTTTTACTTCTTTGGTTCGATTTTTTTTAAGGTTTTGGACTGCGTCTAGATGATGGTAACGAAGTATAGTTTCATTATAAAAATTAGTTTATGATCAGTATATGTCAGTATATGTATGATAAATGTGCAATATATTGTACATCCTAGAGATATCTACAGTTATTGTACATCTTAGTTTATGTTTGGTTTATTTTGTTTATGCACAAATTAGTTTGTGAATGGATGTTTGTTTTTATGTTTTCAATGTTTATTCATAATTTATGTTTGGTATATTAGAAGATTTTTTTGGTTGAAAACGAATTTCATTACTAATATACATTATTTTTTATCGACCAGTCAACTTTTTTTGTGGTATATTTGCATAACTTTTTTTAAGAAAAAGATCGATCGCGCCTCTATCGTTTGTGATGTGTTGTGGTATATGTACAGTATATAATCAGCATATGTACAATATATGTCATATATATATATATATATATATATATATATATATATATATATATTCGACTGTGATATCAGAATATCTGTCGAAAAAAAAAGGAATACATGATTTTTGATGGAACATATACCTTAATTTGATCCATAGTCCTCTTTTTTTTCGGTATATTTTGCATAGAAAAACAATAAATTCATGTATGTTTCATTGGGTATATGTCAGTATATGTATAATATATGTACATCCTAGGAATATCTACAATTATTGTACATCTTAGTTTATGGTTGGTTTATTTTTTTAAGTAAAATTAGTTTGTGAATGGATGTTTATTTTTATATTTTCAATGTTTATTCATAATTTATGTTTGGTATATTAGAAGATTTGTTTCGTTGAAA